CCTACCTCTTACAATGCTACATTTTGTGTTTCTACAGTTCGTGTTCTTTCCAAGCACAGACGCACACATAATTTTGAGCTGCGTGTTCTGAACACACGTTTTGGAAGCACCTCCTTCGCAAACCGTACTGAGCCTGAAAGGCATCCTCTGGCCCGGCGCTTTGCTCCCGGAGCGGCCGCGTCCTGCGGGCTGGAAGTCCCAGGGGCTCCGGTGTTTGTGTGTTCCGTTAGGTCACGACCGGCAGCGCGCGCCGTGTGCTGGAGCCACGACGGCCGGGGGCTGTCGTCTGCCTCCCGGGACGGGACGCCGCGGCTGTGGCCCCTCCGTGGGGCGGAACTGGCGTTGCGCGCGGTGAGGGGCCACGCCGGCCCCGGCTACGGGGTTTCAGTGCCTGGCCCTGCGGCCCCCGGGCCGGCAGTCACGGAGGCGGGCCTTCGTGGGGCCCGGGCTTGTACCCTCACCGGGAGCGTGGGAAACGGGTGAACCGCAGCTGCTACGCGCACCCACGGCGGTCAGTGCGTCAGCGTCTTCGTACGCGTGCGCGCACTCACACGTGTGACAGTCGTGCACACACACGGACACGTGTGCACTCGCACGCACACACCCTTACCTGTGAGCGTTTCCACGCGCTTAGGGGAGACCGTTTGGAGACAACGGGAGAGACCGGAGGGCGGTGGTGATGACGTCGCAGCTGAGGCGGGAGAGGGAGGTGGCAACAGGGCCGCGCCCCCGCGGGTCAGATTGTCCAAGCTGTGGTTAGCATTTACCGCCTGCGGGTGTTACTGTGAAAGGGGGTTGGGTCCTAGGAAGACTAGCCAGGGGGCGCCTGGGTGGCTCAGTTGGTTAAGCAACTGCGTTGGGCTCAGGTCATGGTCCCAGGGTCCTGGGATCGAGCCCCGCATCGGGCTCCCTGCTCGGCAGGGAGCCTGCTTCTCCCTCTCCCACTCCCCCTGCTTGTGTTCCCTCTCTCACTGTGTCTCTTTCTCTGTCAAATAAATAAATAAAATCTTAAGAAAAAAAAAAAAGGAAGACTACCAGGAAGGGAAGTCCTCAGCCCGGGGACTCTGGGACAAGGCGTTTGGGAGCAGCTTCAAGGGGACGGGTCTGCTTTAGGGTCGTTGACACTGTCGTCTCCCACATGTCGCTGACGCCTCAGAACTGTGTTCCATGGTTAATATTTATCTTTAATAAAACCCTCACTACTTAATATGCTCACTGCCAAGTATCAATTTTATTTTATTTTAAAGTTTTTAAATGGCTGGGATTCAAAATACTCATTACAGAAACATTTTAATCATGTGACATCTTTCAGAAGTAGTCGGGAAGAAGAAACAAAATGGGGAACCGGTTCTAAGGATGTGTGTCCACGTTTAGAGTGGACGTGTGTGTTGATAGGAAAGAGTCTCCGTGTGTGTCTTGTCTGCCTCTGTTACGTTGGCCGTGATTACTGATTTACATTCCAGGGCAAAGATGTGTTTTCCAAGCCCGTTTGGTCCGCACAGTTTTATTACATAGACACTTTTATATTGTCGTCTTCGGGCCCCGAACTCCAGCTCCTCAAGTACCACGTCGACACTTGCAAGGATGAGATCCAAAGGTGCGTAGCCTGCTCTTCGGTTCCTTTCCCTCCATGGTCGGGGGGAGCCGTGTTTCCTACTGGGTCGTATGTAAATAGAGGGTTTTCATTTACACATGTTGTGCAAAATTGAATCACCTCACCGCAAGCTGCTGGTGAGAGCCGAGGGACAGGCTTCTCCCTCCTCAGAGCTCGTCTGCAGTGCCGCACGCGGGGGCCTTGGTGTGACGAGAGGCCCCAGGGCTTCGGAACGTGGAACTCTTACCGTGGTTCAGCAACGCATCTGATTGATACTATGTGGGACGATCCTACTGTGTTTATAGTGAAGTTAAAACAGGAAATGTTTCATACACACACGCACGTGCTAAATATACAGACGGAACACCTGTTCACATCTCCCTGTGCAAATATTAACATTTGTTTTGCTTTCAAATTTTTTGAAGAAATAAAACATTATGGGGGTAATTAGTGGCCTGCCTTCCTGGGCCAGTTCCCACCCCCTCTTTCCTCTGCTTTTTTTTTTCCTTACCATGGTAAGTGTAGCTACCATCTGTCACCTTCCAGAGTACCCAGTACTGTTCACTGTATTCCCTGTGCTGCACTCCCATCCCCATGACGCATATGTCATAATCCCCTTCCCCTATTCTGCCCATCCCCCCACTGCCCCCCTGCCCCTCCCTCCTGCCAGCCACCAGTTTATTCTCTGTATGTATGAATCTGTTTCTGTTTTGTTGTTGTTATTCTTTTGTTTTTTAGGTTCCATATATAAGTGAGGTCATAGGGTATCTGTTTTTCTCTGACTTATTTCACTTAGCATAATACCCTCCAGGCCCATCCTTGTTGCACATGGCGAGGTCTCATCCGCTCTGATGGCCGATCAGTATTCCACCGTATATATATACACCTCATCTTCTTTATCCGTTCGTCCGTCCGTGGACACCTGGCTGCTTCCAGTCTTGGCTGTTGTAACTTTCCTCGTGTTGAGATTGGTGTGTTTGCTTCCCATCCATGGTTTATATTTGCTAATGCAACACACCTTTCATAATAATCAGGATTCTGTTTCTGAGGTTTAGCCGTGCCTGTGAGTGTGACTTCAGACTGTTCGCAGCAGCTGTTATGAAATTCTATACAACGGGTAGATGCCATAGCATCCTCACCCATCCTGTTGTTGCCGGAGACCCGGCTTCTTCCGACGCGCCCCATGCTCTAACCAGTGCTGTGCTGGATTTCCTTGTGCACGTGTGGACGTGGGACCGTGCGGGGTGATTTCAGACTCGTCTGCTCTGTGCCGGCAGTGAGCTGTGTGTCGTACACACAGTGAGGGTGGGTTTTGTCTTTCTCTGGAGGCTGTCTGTCCTTGCGTCCTCTCTGCAGGGGATGCCGTGCCGTCTTCCTTCCTATAACTAAGTACCTGATGGTGGTGTTTCATGTCAGCCTGGAGCTGAGCCATCTGGAGGGAGGAGGCTCACAGGCTTGAGGACTGTGTGCCGTGCTGTCCTGCTGCTTTTCACTTGATTTCCAGGTAGCAGCTCTGGCTCCAGGCGTCACATCCATATTCTTACAGCAACATGAAGGGGGAGACTGTGCTGAAGCTGGCAGGCGGCGGGCCCCTGGGAGCATCCCAGGCCCTTGGGGCTGGGACCTGCCTTAGGAACGTGCAGGCAGGGATTGTCAGAGTTTATTTATAAACTGGGCAGATTGCTGCGAGACTTCCCTCACCCATCAGACACGTTGCGTCACCCCCACATCAGCGCATCTGTGCTCTTACTGTGGGGCACGTGAGTTTGAGTGGGCTCGTGTTTCTGGAGTCTGAGCGCAGGGTCTGTCTTGCGAATCACTGTGGGTTCTGTTTCATCCCCGGTCCCTTGTGCCCATCGGGAGACCTGTGGGCAAGTTTTCAGCTTAGTAGCCTTATTGGGTAGCTTTTTAAGTGTGAAGGAGGAACACGCATGGCAGGTGCCCCCGGATCTCAGCCAGAAGATTGGCTTACTCTTAGGTCAGCCGCTTGGCCAAGAAACATGTGCTGAGGCCAGGATGGATTTGGCTCAGGTGTGATGTATCCATGGGGTCCCAGCTACTCCTGAGCAGGACGCGGGCGCCGTGGCCGAGCAGACAGCAGAGTGCCCAGGGCTCCCTGTGGCATTACCCCTGCAGCCTCCTGGCCCGTCTCCTGAGGCTGTGGTGTGGCATCATGTGCCTGCTGCGTCTTACTAGCCTGCTTTCCACTGGTGTGAGTTTGGGGCCAGGTATTAGGAACTGAATGGTTACTGGTTGTTGCAAGCCTGGTGTTTTTAATGTCTTCACATTTTTGATAATGCAGTTCCTTGGAAAGAAGTACTGTGTTTGCAGACTACTTCCGGTCCAGCAGCCAAAGCTGGGGCGTGGAGATGGCCTTCACACTGGATTCCTTCCAGGCTGGCCTCGCACGTGCTTAACATGGCCCTTTGCGAGCGGTCTGACCCTCCAGTGGGTGGTCATGCGCAACCCGGGCGTCCTCACCTCCTTCTGTCTGGGGAGATGCCCCATGGAGGTTGTTGGAGAAAGGCCCTTCCCCAGGCCTGCTGCTTGCTTGGGCTACGGCTGCCTTCCCCACTTAAACGCCCCCATCAGCTGGGGGTGGGGACTCTTGGAAACTGGAAAGGCTTCAGAGGATGGGACGCCAAACCTCACACAGGCCGCAGGCATGAGCGCCCCTCAGCAAAGCTGTCTGTCCCTCGGGCAGGGCTCCTGCCGGCCCCATCAGCGCTTGCCTTGGCCCTTCTCCCCTGCCCATCCCCTCCCTCTGAGCTGAAATGGGCATGTGGCCCACTATGTCACATGAATACCTGTGCCTTAAACGGGGACTGTCCCTTCCCCCGTCCCACCTCACCGCCATGCCCTGTGATTTCAGCTGTGCATGTTCTCCCTTGGCTTGCGTGATCTTTCTGACGTGCCTCTCCTGGTCTGTGGTGTCCGCAGAGCTTCTCCGCGGCTCTCCCCATGAAGTGGCTGCTTTCTGCTCCATGAACCACCTACTGTATGATCCGTGCAGTTTTTCAGCAGGAATAATTTGTGGGATCTTTGCGTTGTCACTGAGCTTCCCTTCAAACCTCTCCTGCGACTCAGCTCCATCTGTCCCTCGAGTCTGTGTGGGTGACCCCCACATCGCCGTTGCCCCAGGACCTGCTGAGTCACGCCTCTGGATGCCCATCTCTGTGCCTCCCCTGCATATATGGCCCCAGGCCCCCATGCAGCACTCACTCTCCTGTGGAAGGTACAGGCTGATGGCCTGCTCATCCTCCCTCTCAGCGCCCAGCAGGCTCAAGACACGGAGCCCTCCCGGCACTTTGCCCCATCCCGCACCTGCTCCTGCCCCCCTGGGCCACCCCCAGAGATCTCCCCTGGGCCTCCCTGGGCCAGGATCACATTGTAAGATTGCTAGCGGGTTCCTTTCCTTTATAAAATTATTGTTAGGGATTCTTGAGGTCGTATGTTTATTAAACCAATACTGACTGCTTGTGTTACCCTTTAGAAAATATTAACAGCATTTGTGTTAATGGAAATATAGATAATTTATAACCGGTTGGAAGTCTTCTTAAGTATACATAATTATTTTAGAATTAGGAGAAAAATTTGCTTTCTCATAGACAAGAATGAATTATTTGGGGATTTATATGATATTTTTTCATGAAGTTTTCTTTCTTTTTTAAAAAAAATTTTTTTTATTATGTTATGTTAATCACCATACATTACATCATTAGTTTTAGATGTAGTGTTCCATGATTCATTG